TCTCAAAATTATTATGCTGGATGAATGAAGCCAGGTAAAGAGTACATACTACATGATTACAATGGTAGGAAATGCAAACTAATCTCTTGCAACAGAAAGCAGATCAATGATTGCCTTTGGACAGTGACAGGGACAGGAGAATAGGTGGGAGGGAAGGAACACCGAGGGATACAAGGTAACTTCTGTGGATGACAGTTATGTTCACTATCATGTCTGAGGTGATTTTTTTTATTATTAAATTTTGTACCTAAAAAAAAAAAAAGCAAAGAATAGTTGTGACATCTGGAAGGGAAGAGGGCAGGGTGGATGTGATGAGGGAGGGAACACGTGGTCTTCAACTGTACCGGGGAAGTTTTATTTCTTACACTGGGTAATAAGAAGAAAATGTCTCCTATATTTTTCTTTGTACCTTTGTTATATCCTGAATATTCATTATGAAGTTAAGTAAAAAGAGACAAAGTCACGTGCTGAGAGGAAATGGTGAGGAAGTAAGGTAGACTTTTGAGAAGATGGAGTTTTGAGCTGGCATTCATGAGCACTGGGTAAAGGACAAGCAAGCCCATGTGGGGGCAGCTGACTGGGTCCAGCTGGGCCTGGAGACTACAGATTTGTGGGGGTCTCAGTCTGGCTAGCTGTGTGGCTTTCTCCAGCAGTGCTCAGCAGCCTAGAGATGAAGGACACATGGTGTTGGTATTTTGCCTGCCAGTGCAGTGAGTAAAGGGTCAAGCTAAGAATGTAGTACTAATAACATTATTGAAGGTCCTCTAGGCTGGATTGGGAGGTCATGAAAGGGGAAACATGGAATATATTAGAAGGTGAGAGAAGTATACAGCTCTAAATGATGAGAAGTTCTGGGTCCACGATATGGGATGAATGGGTAGCTGAAATGGAGTGGTGTTGGTAGTCACGAGAGCCAGGAAGACAAAGGAACTGCGCATCAAGATGTTAGATGAGTTATTTCCATGGAAACTGAAGTTGTCCAGAAGAATAACATTCATGGTTTAGGGACCTGGGGAAGACTATGTTCCTAGCAAAAAAGTCTGGAGGGACCAGGAGTTTGGACAATAAGCGTGATAAGCAGGAGAGGAGGTGTGGTATAGCCATGCATCTGTAACCTTAAATGAGGTCATAAAAACTTAAGGGGCCTCTTTTGGCACTAGGAAAATGGTGACCCTGCCTCCAGGCTCTGGTGTGTAGCCTGTCTACATTAGAGTAGGCAGCAGGGAAGCAGCATCTTGCAAGAAAACCAAATTTCCATTAAGACAAAAAGACAAAACATTCTTTGAAGAGGTGAAAGGTGGAAGAGATCTTTCATAGAAACAGAAGACCCCACAGACATTATGTAATATCTTAAAAGTGAGAAGATCAAGGAAAGATTGAGTCTGTATCATTCCCTTTTGCTACGGGCTTAGTTGGTCATGACTCAATCTAACTAATGCCAACTAAGCCCATAGCAAAAGGGGATGATACAGTGGGCCTGGAGAAATGGCAGGAGGTGCTGGTGGTTTAGGTGGCTATTCTTGGGTTCTAAATGGACCTCTGGTTAAAGATGTTTCCTGGCCTGTGCATGTGAGGTCCAGGAAGCAAGCATTGGAGGTTTGATGAGGCTACATACCTGTGGCTTTTGTTTAGGTTTGCAAACAGTGTTTTGCTCTGAAGTGCTTAATGAATTATTATTTCCTATCCATGTCAAAAGAAACAGAATAGCACATCTATGTTACACTGATGATAATAGCCTTTCAGTTGTAAAGCCATTAAACTTGCTCACTTCACGACAGTTATCTCATAACTTCTGAATCTAGGACTTCATTCTGGTAAACCAGATATAATTCACAATGCCAACTCACTTGGAAACCTTCCAAACACCTGGAATTTGCAAGAAAGAGTGTGGACAGCAAGGGCTTCTAAGGATCAGCCAAATGCTAAATAATGGCAAGCAGAGGGAAAACAAGAAATATGATCCAGACGGTGACTTGTCTCTGCCTTCTCTCTTATCCCCTCATGGGAAACATCAGGCTGCTTTGAAGGCTACCATAATCGTAGGACAATTATATTCAGAGTTTTGAAACCAGGCCCTTGTGCTCAGTAACAGAGATTTATTCTGATTTGACATCATTCAAAAGTGATAATAGAATTAAAAAGAAAAGTTTGAGGAAAAAGATTCCTTTTGAGGGAAAGGGCTTAAATTGGCAAATTCTATATTTTACCAGAAAAAATAATGAAGCATGTATTTAAAGGTCAAAGGCATGCCTGGCTTCCCATGAGGGCCCTTGACCTGGCATAGGATAACTGTTGTCACAGCAGTGGATGGGCATGCATGGGGCAATGTTTCTGCCCAGAAAGACCAAATGGGTCAGAAGACAATTGAATTCTCCAGTCCATCAGTATGGTTTTGTTACAAATATTAAATTCATTGAGGACTTGCTTTGACACACGAAGAATAAAAATAAGAGTTTTCAGGCAAAAATTTTGAAGGCAACCAGTCCAGTTGCAGACTAGCATTGCAACTAGTTAGTATTCTCCTTCTTTTTACCATGAGGAAGCAGCACCAACATGAGACAGACACAGAAGACCCATGGATCTAGCAAGAACAAAAGATAACAGTCTTTGAAGGTTCTTCCACTCAGAAAACATTATCTCCAAACCAGCAGCATCTGCAGTACCTCGAAGCTTGATAGAAATGCAAAACCTTCACCCACACCTCAGATCTACTAAACTAGAATGTGCATTTTAGCAAAATTGATTCCTATTTAAGCTTGTAAATCACACTAAGGCATAGAAGACCACCCAGGTTCCAGGCTCATAAATTGGAAGGAGTGAATAGAAAATTCTGCCAAATAAAAAGCACATATGGGCCCATATGTTACTTAAGCAGACTTTCTAGACTGATGCCCAGAGCTGCAGGAATCCTGGTCTGAGCTTCAGTCTCTCCGACATTGGTTCGTGTTCTACCATCAGTGCTTCCAGGCTGCCCAGGATCACATAATCTCAGTTCTCTCTCAGGGGCCCTTCACATCCACCTGCCCTCTCAAGCCAACTATTACTTGGCTTCTTTATGATGGACTCTTGCCATTGACCCACAATGACCCAGCCTAGATTCTGTCCCCAGCTCTGTCCCTTTCATCTTTGCTCTTCCCAGACTCAGCTCTGCTGCCTGACTGTTCGTAGCCCACTCAGCCCTTGGCAAGGACAGAACAAGGTACCGCTGGGCTAAACAGAGCCAGTTCATGGCATGCCAAACTTTGGAATGTGTTGAAGGCTGGCAAGGAAAGTTAGATGGCAGCTCACAATAACAACTAGTGGCTTAATGTCATCTAGAGTCCAGAAATTCACAAAAAAAATGTCTGGACTGTGGGTTTTAGGGCACACACACAGCAGTTCAAACTATTGTGACACATTGAAACAAGGGCGGGGGGGAGACGAGATAGAAACAATACCATAAAATACAATTGACCAGAATGTCACAATTCCTTTTCCTCCTTGGAAATACCAAATCAAAGGAGGCTCCACTAACATTCACCCATAATCTCCACAGAGTTCTACCTCTACTACTGTTTTTGAAACTCATTTTAGCTAATACTAGCCACAATTTTCTAAATATGTTTCTGTATCATGCTCTGTGTTACTTTATGTGTATTAAATTAACCTTCATAACAAATTTAGAAAGTAACTACAACTTTACAGGTGAAAAACTGAAGGTTGAAAAGTAATTTGTTCCAGAACCCACTTACTAATTGGAGAAACCAGTATGTGAACTTGAGTCTCAAACTCCAGAGCCCTTTCTCTATTCTATCTGACACCCACTTTGCAATTTTAACATATAAAAATGTTCAAACTAAATAAAATTCTCTCTTAAGAAAGAAATTAGAGCAGAAGGGTTGAGAGAAAGAAGGAAGGTCTAGAGAGCATTTATCTTAAATTTGCTGTTTTTTAGTTATATTATTTGTATTCTTAAATATAAGCCCCCCTGGAAAACCTATAACCTATCAATATAGCTTTTAATGTCCAAGTACCACAACCCACAGACAGGAAAAAGAAAATCAGGACATGATAAATATTTTTATGATCTCATTTAGAATTTCCTGTCCATTTAAGACATACTCGTGTCTGGTTCTTTTACTGGGTGAATATACTTTTAGTGGGCAGCCTGCATGATAAAATTCAAGAATAAAAATTCAAAATCATGGAAGTTTGAAAATAGAATCTAATAGTTGAACATATGCAATTCTCCAGCAGCATTCTGGTTACTTATCAAAAAGATAATATTTTCTCTTTCTGCTTCTTTGACTCATAGGACTCCCTTTTGCACATCACAATCCCAGTCAAGAACTAATCCCAAGTTACAATGAGTAATAAATAATCATTACAATGAGTAAAATCTTGACATGTAAAGGACAGCACACACAAGCAGCAGTGCAGAGACCTTAGCTCAACGAGCAGAGGAGCTGTGCCTTTGGGGCACTGTCATTCAGAGGACAGTCAGTCACTCAAATTAGGGTCAGTCAGTCACTCAAATGTTTCTAATTAGGATCAGAACAGTGTTGATCTCTGCTATGTAAAAAGTAAGAAGGAGGCTCTGTCAAAATCTGTGACAAAGCACACTTAATCCTGAGAACTAAGAAGACATCCAATCTAAACCAGAATTTATACATTGCAACAGTGACCAGATATCCTGAGGGGGAGCATGTGAACCGACTTTGGGAATATAATGAGTCTGCCATCTGATTTGTTAGATTTTGCTCTGTGTCCGTCAGCAAAAGTGAATGCATCCTGGGGAATGACAAAGTCAACATGTGCAAACATGCTTGATTTAATCTCAATTTCCTCTTTGAAACAGTTGGGTTCAATATGTCCACCTATCAACACTCTTTAAAGTATAGAGATAAAATGTTTTCATAAAACATAAAATTGAAGAGTCTTAAAGAAAATAGGGGTTATCTCATTTAAGAGATGAGAACACCAAGGCCCAGAGATGAACTAGAAGTGCTCCAAGTACCCACCTGGCTGGTGGCCACGCCGAGATTAGAGTGAAGGTCTTTTCTCTGAGGTGAGATTTTTACCCTTCTCTTTAGAGTGTGACACTCTTGATTGCTTCTCACATGTCATCCAAAGCACAGAAAATTTCACTGAACGTTCCAGAAAACAATGAAATTCCATGGCAACTTTTTCTTCTATAAATATGTGTAAAGAATATAAAGAAAAAAATGCAATTTGTAATAATGAATATACAAATAATAAATAATAAAAAAATTTTAAAATAAAATAAATTTTAAAAATAGAAGAAAAAAATACTTTATGCGACACACTGGATTTTGCTTACTTACAAACAAAAACTTGTAAAACTCTGAGCCCCATATACTTAAAAAACCACCATTACATAGCAAAGGTTTAAAAATATGGAACACAATGTTTGTGTAGCTGTTTGCTGGATGCTTAGGGATTTTTAAATGCTTCTAAAAAACTAGGACAGGACAGGAGTTTACTGTCTACACTTGAGATGACAGGTTGTTTTTTTTTTCTGATACTTAAAAAAACAAACAAACTGCATAATCTAAATGTAATGACTCCTAGCAGCCCATCTCCAGCCTATCTCAAGGAGCAGAAGTGTATAGAAAAAAATCATAATTTGGCTGGAGGCTGATTCTTTTTCACTTGTACTAAATAAGAGGACTCTGAAGAAGTGTGGCCTCAGCAATGTCAGATGTTACAAAATGCTTATGAACATGGGCACACACATATACCAAGACGAGTTAAATACCATGTGCTTGAGCAAAACTAAAACTGAAGCTTGATTATGTACTCAGGGCATTTCTAATATACATCACCAGAAGTTATTAATTCACAGAGCTGATTGAATTCCTTATGATGATACATTTCAGGCCCAAATTAGTATTGACTAAATTATCTGTAGTTTCTGATGATGAATTACTCATTTTCTTTTAAAATTTAAAGTTTCAAAGTAAGACAGATAACGAATTTAATTAAAATTTTATCTTTTGCTTTTTATCATGACAGGCAAGAATAAATGTATATATGTGATTATTACGATTTACTTTAGCTCTCTAGAGATTTTCAGAGTGCCTGAAGTTATCGACAATGAATATGGCAAAACTAACTTTTCTCATTCCTACTGCCTACTGTATACAGATAATGCATCTTAATTCCTTCACCACAAGCAATTTCCTTACTCTCTGACATGTACACAACGACATATTCTACATTAAAATATTTATTCAGTAATACTGCACTGCAGTGAGAATAAGAGCAAAAAATGTATAATGTTAAAAAAGGAAAATTCAATTGCTTAACTTGAACTGGGCAGAATATATACAAAAATAACTAACATGAGCAGTGAAGTTCCAGGCCTTTGCTCCACCTGCAAATTAATCTAGCATTTCTCTGGTGCATCTCATGGAAAAAGAGAAAATCGTGGACTGATTTAACAAATCCCCTCTACCGTATAGATTAATCTTCTGTGATCATCTGGAGTATATGAAGAATTGCCACTGAGGCAGTAGGGGGATATGAGCTCAAATATTATGACAAAGTATGTCATTAATTTATGCCTGAATATGGAATAAAACATCCGTAGACTTTCCTTCTTCCCTTCTCATCTTCTTGATTTTCAGTGGAAGATCTCCAACTTGTAGGATTGCTTTTATCCTATGTGTAAGGAATGAGGAAAGAAAATACCATACCATTAATTCACATGATATGTATTTATTGAACACCTACTGTAGACTGTGCTGTTGTAAATAGAAAGAGTTTTCTTTCGCATTCTGTCCTTGTCAGAGTACTAGTTTTCCACCCTTAATTAGCATACCCAACATAACTCTTACCTTTGTATTCCTCTCCATACACTCCACTCCCCTGCACTTTCTACCACTTAAAATTTCCTAACTCTTTTCTGATTAGTGAACTACTCTAGGAATTTCTTCACTAGTTTTTGTTCTCTTGTCTGGCAAGTTAATAACCTTGCCTATATTTGACTATTTCTTTCGGCTGATCTGGTGCTATGTTAGTCTAGCATGTACATCTGAATCTCTCTCACATGGCACTTACCATTGCAGTAATTCAGCATGAGAGAGGTATAGCAAAGTGGTTAAGAGACCAGTTATGGATCCAGACTGTTTAGACCCTTTCATTTACTCTGAGACCTTGGGCAATTTACTTAACCACACTGTTCCTTCATTTCCTCATCATAAATTAGAAAAATGGTAATACTTGTCCAATAAATTGTGAAGAGAATTAAATAAATTAATACATGCAAAAAATTTTGGATGTTCCATTTCTAAACAAGATGGACCAAGGCAACTAAAGATTGTATCTTCCTCTGATTAGGAGTAATACAAAATGCAATCTATCTAAAGATTCTAAAAATAAAGAAAATCAGGAAAATTATTGAAAGAAGTTAAAATTTGGAAAAGTTAGCCATATGAGAGTGAATTTTTCGTTATTCTCCTCTGTTTTTCCTCATGGTTTTGATCCAAGGACAGACCCCACTTTTTGACATGGGCCATAAAACACCATGACAAATTTAAAAGAATTGAAATCCTACAAAATGTGTTCCCAGACTATATTGTTATTGAACTAGAATTCAATAACAGAAAAATATCTGAAAAATACAAATTTGGGGGAACTAGGCAACACACTCCTATATCAAATTTGTGGGATGCAGCTTAAGTAGTGCTTACAGGAAAATATAGAGTGCTTATATTAGAAAATAAGTTTCAAATAATGATCGAAGTGTCTATCTTAGAAAACTAAAAAAAGTACATTAAAATAAAAGCAGACAGAAGGAAAGGAGTAATAAAAAGAAAAGCATTAATCAATGTACCAGAAAATTTAAACAATAGAGAAAAGCCAATGATATTAAAAGTTAATTCTTTGAAAGATTAATAAAATAGATAAACCTCTGCTCAGATTGGCCAAGACAAAAAGAGAGAAAATACCAATTACCAATATCAGAAATGGAAGAGAGGATATCACTGTAGACCATGGACATTAATATGATAAGAAGAAAATATTCTGACAATATTACAAAGATAAACAAAGCAACTTAGATAAAATTGACCAATTTCTTAAATGTCACAACCAAATTTCATTCAAGAAGAAACAGATAACCAGAAAAATCTTGTGCCTGTTACAGAATTGAATTCATAGTTACAAGCTACACAGAAAACGTCAGGCCTACATGGCTTCAAAAATGAATTGTACCAGAAATTTGAAGAACAAATAATAGCAAATCTATACAAACTCTTCCACAAAACAGAAGACAAGGGAATACTCCCCAACTCATTTTATGAGGCTAGCATTATCCTGATAGCAAAAGCAGACAGAAACAATTTAGAAAAAAAATACAGGACAATATTCTTCATGAACTTAGACACAGAAAAAAATTATCAACCACATATTAGCCATTAGAAAATCGAATCAAACAGTATATAAAAAAGAAATATATTATTGCCAAAAGGGGTTTTCCCAGGAATATAAAACTGGATCATCATTCAAACTTCAATCAGTATAATTCACTGTATTAAAAGATTAAAGAAAAACATGCAGTTCATTCCAATAGATGCAAAAAAATGTATCTGACAAAATTAAACATGCATATTACTTAAACTCTCATTTGTAAGAAAAAAAAAAAAATCCCGCAAATCTCTCAGCAATTTAGCAACAGAAGAGAAGCTCCTTAATCTGATAATCTGATAAAGAGCATACTGAATGATAAAAGCCTTGATTCTTTGCCCCTAAAATTGGGAATAAGGCAAGAATGTCCATTCTCATTTCTCCTCATACATCATATTGGAGGTATGATGCCTATGCGATAAGGAAAAAAAAAAAAAAAAAAAAAAGAAAGAAAGAAAGAAAAACATACAGATTGGAAAGGAAAGGAAGAAATAAAGCTCTCTCTATTGGTAGGCAACATAATATTTTAGAAATTCCACAAAAATTTTTACAGAAAAAGCTAGAAATAATAAGTAAGTTTATAATATACAAATTTTAATTGTCAATTGTACCACAAAAAGCTGGGTGAGAAAGAATGAAGTATGACGATATTTCAAAAAGGTCATGGAAAGATTCATAGTATCTTTCAATCCTATTTTTCCACACGCATTTTGAAGTACCTTTATACTGATACATGCTGCAACATGGATGAAGCTTAAAAAATTATGCTAAGTAAAAGGAGCACATATTATATAATTCTATTTAAGTAAAATATCCAGAAGTGACAAATTCATATAGAGAAAAAGTAGATTGTGGCTGTCTAGGCCTGGGAGGGTTGGTGGAAAATTGGGATGATGGTTTAGGGGAGCAGTGTTTCTTTTTGAGAAAATAAAAACATTCCAAAATCAGTTGTAGTGACAGATGGCACAACTCTGTGAATATACTAAAAACCATTGAATTTTGCATCTTAAATGGCCAAATTGTATAGTGTATAAGTTATATCTCGACAATGCTACTTAAAAAAAAATGAGTTTATCAAAGTTGCACAATAAAAGAAAATCAATTGCATGTCTACAAACCAGAAATGAAAAATGAAGAACTGAAATGTCAAAGAATGAACCATCTATTACAGCAGAAAAAAAAATCACATTCTTAGGAATAAATAGAAGAAAATATGTACATAATCTGTATGCTGTAATCTAAAAACACTGATGAAAGAAATCAAATAAGATTTAAATGGAGAGATATACCCTGTTCATAAATTAGAAGACTCATTGCATTAATATGTCAATTTTAATTTGTAGAGGGTTAGAAATCTTGATTCCTATTTGATTATTACATAGGATTTTTAGGTAATGCATGCATGGGACAAAAGTCCTCAGACAGAGAGTAAGAGCTTACAGCTAGGGGGGCAAGAACCCACCAAATCAATTCTAATCAATATTTAGGTAAGGATTATATACACTGGTTGTTAATATAATGGGTTCATTGGAAGATTTTGTGAAAAGGAAACTCACACAGGTTTAAAGCCTTTGATGTGGACAAGAGAACTAAAACAGAACAAGGATTGTTCTGTGGACAATAACCTTTAATACAACAAAGCTTAAATGTTGGGAAAACTTGTGAGTAAAGATTTCCAAGGATGTTTTGCTAGATTAGTTAATACATGGGGGATTTTCCACATTTTGCTTAAAGCTGTTTCTGTGTGTTTCTCAAAAAGTCAGGCACTTCCATGATTGTCTTATTGTTTCTTTTGCAGGTTACTTAGCTTAGATTATGACTCTTGTTGGTATATTGTTTAAACTATTTTGAAACATACATGCGTGGATGGAGATTGTTACATAGCCAATTTCTGTATGTTTGTACTATTATTGATTAACAATAATCTGTTAATTTTCTGTTCTCTTCCTGTAATTTCCTTGTCTTTTCAATAAAAATTGAAGCAAAAACTGACTTGGGGCTGCTACCCAGTTCCTCCTTCTCACAGAGGAGTTGCGGGGGTAGAGTCACCTCGGGCTCTCATTGCATTCATGTTGCTTTGAGTAACCATTTTTCATCTCTTTTACACAGCAAGAGGTGTAACACTAATTGATCTATAAATTCAATATAATCACAATCAAATTCCAAGTAAGATTATTTGTAGATATCAACAAGAAGCTAATTCTAAAATTTGCATGAAAAGGCAAAGGAAGTAGAACAGCCAAAACAATTGTGAAAAAGCAGAACAAATTAGATGACACACACTACCTAATTTAAAAAATAAATGACTTTGGAAAAAGAATAGATACAGAACAATAAAACAGAGATAATACATACATGCATGGTCAATTCATTTTTGCAAAGTTACAAAAGCAATTTAGTGGAGAGAAGGAAGGATTTTTAAATCAATAGTGCTGCAAAAATTGAATACCTATGTTCAAAAGAAAAAAAAGAAAGAAAATACTTCACACTCTACACAATTAACTCAATACTGGTCATCTAATTATAAGACCTAAAAATACAAATCTTCTAGAAGAAAACATAGGAAAAAATCTTATTGATCTCAGCAAAGTTTTCTTAATATGACAAAAACTACAATCCATAAAATAAAACAGTTTATAAAGTTGATTTCATCAAAATTAAAAACTTATTCTGTGAAAGACATTGTTAAGAGAATAAAAAGACGAACCATACATTAGGAGAAAATATTTGCAAAACTTACATCTGATTAGCAATTTTAATACAGAATACTTAAAGACATCTCAAAACTCTACAATAAGAAAACAATCTACTAAAAAAGTGGAAAAATGGGGCTGGCCCGGCGGCGCACTGGATAGTGCACCGCTTGGGAAGCACGGCGGCGCTCCCGTCCGAGGGTTCGGATCCCACATACAGACCGGCTCCCGCTCGCTGGCTGGGCGAGGCGCGGGAGCAATGCCGAGGCTTGTGATCCCGTCGCCGGTCCCCGGCCCGGTGCGGGGGCAACACTGAGGGTTGTGATCCGTTGCCGGACACGGAAAAGAAAAAAAAAAAAAAAAAAAAAAAAAAAAAAAAAAAAAAAAAGTGGAAAAATGATTTAAATAGACATTTCACCAAAGAAAATAAATAAGATATATTCATGGTAAATAAGCACATGGAAAAAATGCTGTGTCATTAATTACTAGGAAAATGCAAATTAAAACCACAAAGAGCTATCACTACACACCTATTAGAATAACTACAAATAATT